ATCACTTCAATAACTGACGTAGAACAAAGTGGGGCTTGTGTTAGTACATAATGAACAGGAAGACTTAAATGGGTCATGATGATATGTCAAGGCTTTAAATGAATAGTAAGAAAATTTAATTGCCTTTGTTGTGTAAAACATCAGTCAAGGGTGTTTTTTTTAAAAAAAATTATGTGAATGTCAACATTTCACTTCTATCTCAAGCAGATATTGATGAATGTAGAGGATAAAATTTACCTCACTAAATCAAGTTCTGCACTCTTTTGCTTGAAATAAAAAATCATCACATAAAACTTTTAAGCACTATCTGCAGCCTCACTGCTAAAACACCTGTATATAACTGGGGTGGAAAGTGACTAAAAAGTCTCCAATCATCTCTGTAAAGCTTCGGCTTCCCACAACAAATAAGGATTAACTATAGATGTAACATTTTCCTCAAATATTTGTGCATCTTCTGACCAACAGAACAAAAAACATTCAAGCCTTCTCTAGAGAACAAAAATGTATAATTTAGAGGCTTTTTGCCCAGAAACCTAGCAGACAAATGCAGTTGTGTATATTCACACAACAGTACGGAGGTTGTTCATAACTATTACAACATGACCACAGATCCATAGTTGAACTTCTTATCATTGACAGTCAAAACCAAGTTCTGCTGCAGTACCACTTAACACTTCAAGAGAAACCCATGACTCATTTTTGCCTCAGAAGAGAATGCTTTCTTCAGTCAGGATACAAAGTCATACCTAACTTTACACTAACTTCATTATTTTCATTAGAAATAGTTAGCCAGTACAGCAAAATAGCATAGCAAAACACATATATATGAAATACACATTTTCACAAAGATAGCAAAAAATGAGATGCTCTACTGCAATCCTTGGTACTATAAATGAAATTTTCCTCCTGTACCTCTTAAGTCAGCATTAACTCCATTGACTAAAACAGATTTTTCCTTGACCTGTGTATGTATTAGAGGATGTTTCCACGGAATGCACAGCCAGTAAGCAACCGGCTCTGGTGCTGCGGGGACGTGAACCCCAAACGAGATGTCCTGTAGCGCTGAGAACCTTTGCTGCCTGCCAAGGTGTGAACTCCTACCAGATCCCTTCCCTCAGCTGAGGTACTAGCAGCTCTCTTCCCAGAAACAGACTGATGAAATTCAGAGCAGAGAACCGTATCTGCCACCTCCAGCCCTCTCTCAAGTGTGGCCAAGAGCACCTTGGGGGTTCAAAAGTTCTCGGTCACAAGAAGGAATACATCAGAGCACACAAGCTGAACACATAACCTTGGATTCTGTAGGAAACCCAGTAAAAAATTTGACAACAAATCAAATTCCAAAAACAACAGTAAAAAACTTGAGACACAAGTGTGAAAAATTTTAGGTGAAGTACCACAGAAAGCAAAATAGGCTGAAGGCAACTTTGAGTCTACAGCAGTTATTTAAAAAGTCTGTGATGAACAAGCATGACAAAAAAAAAAAAAAGGAATAAAGAGAGGTCGACCTGGATGACGGCTGACTGAGGCGGTGGAGGTTTCCACCAGAGTGAGATGCGACAGCAGTCAGTCTAATACCAACCCCTCATCTGGAGAGTTTTCTTCATGTAGTCAGTCCCTTCCTCCTTCTCGCCTGACTTACGCGATGCCCTCACGCTGCAGCGCCGCAGCCCCCGTGTTTTCAGCGCTGCCCGCTCCGTCAGCAGCTGCAGGGGGTTCAATACCGCGTTAAACTGCTGGAACAGAACGCCGCTGACGGCCCCAACGCAGCCGATACTGCAAAGCCCCGGGGTGGG